ACAGATAATTCCTTTAAGTTGCCATATTACCATATTCATTTTTGCAAAATTTCAGTAGTGTGAACTTTTGTGTACAAAATTTCAGTACTTTTCAATATTTGCTAAGATATGGCCAAACTACTGTTGAAGTTGCACGGTAGCTATCACAAAGACTTAAGAAATTTCAACGATTTTTATCAAACACATTGGCCCTACTAATATATTCGTTTGTGTGAAATATCAATACCAAAATTTTTATAGCTTCTGATATAAAGAAAAAAAACTTTTGAAGTTGTATGGCAGTTACCAGAAGGAGTCAATCAATTTCAATGACTTTTATCAAACACATTGGAGCTACTAATATATTCGCTTGTGTGAAATTTCAATAACACAGCTTTTGCAGTTTCTGAGATATAGCCAAATAAATTTGGAAGCTGTATGGCAAGTACCCGAACCAGTACCACGATCATAACCAATTTAAATAGAGTTTTGGCATTTACTATAATAAATCATTTATGAAAATTTTGTGAACTCAGTTGAATTCATTTTTGAGTTGCCGTTGGGACGGACAAACGGACGGACAGACAGGCGGGTGGTGGGACTCAGAACTCAACGCTGATCAAAAACATATTCTTGAGTCTATATCTCAAACCGTTACTTCTTAGCCCTACAAACGGTAAGGCAAATTTAGTACACCCTGCGAATATACGTTCATACGGGTTAAAAAAACTTAATGAGTACACATACACTTGTTTTGTATTTCTCACTTATATTTCCTATAAGCGCTCATAAATGGTATTTCCTTTGAGAGTGATTATTTTAAGAAATGATTTTTCGAAAAAATTAAATAGGACAAAAACAATATGTATTTTATCTCAGAAAAAACATTTTCATTTAAAATTCTGCCAAAAACTATGTGAATATATAATTACTACTGTCAAAAATTTAGCAGAATTCATCTAGAGCCAAATTCTTTATTCTACGCCGTAATTATGCAAGCCCTAACTTCAAGAGATTTACATCTTTGTTAAAATATGTTGTATGTTTATTAAGTCCCCAATAATAATTCCGTGGTATAATTCTAACGGAAGTTATGATGGTTTAAAAAGAACAAAAAGAGCTACGACGGTAGATCGATTTCAATAAGCCCATATTTTACATTTGAAATAATATATATGTGGGTGCACAAATGATTGTTTTAGGAATACAAACATACAAATAACAAACAAAATGCAAGATTTATTATTGAAAATCCATATTCAAAGTTTATGCATTTGCAAATGTTTAGTTTTGGTAATACATACGTTTTGAAAATTTGAATATTCTGTACTCTTGTTCTTCTGAATACTCTTGTTTAATCCTAAAACGTGCAGGGAGAGTAGGATTTAACAGGATTTTCGATTCTATGGTTGCAAAACACATTTATGACACGAATCACACAATCACGGAAGATAACTTAAAGGTATTAAAAGAGGGAAAAGGAAAACACAGGAGAGAAGTTCATGAGAGCATGCAGATATACAAATCAAACAAGCACTGCCTACTAAACACATGCGAAGGTAAGGCGGCTACTTGACTCTTTAAATTAATTATTTGACCAGCTTCAAGGTTTAAAACAGGTATAAATTTAGTTTGTAACTAATAACAAAAAAAAAGTAAAAAGAAAAATGTAGATAATTATATTAAGTCAGGTATAATATTCCTAATTTTAATAGATTTTAATTTTTATTGTTTGTTGTCTTAATTAGAAGAAAATCAGCTTTGATAAAGGGCGTATGTAACGCACGAAATATATTAGCAAAAAAAATAAATAAAAAAAAGTATTTTATTCCTAATAAAAGAAAGTTTTCCTTTCATACCAATAATAAAAAAAAAAAAAAGAATTACATTTATATGTCTTTCTAGAACGTCTCTAAGAAATGTGTGATATGCAATTTTATGGATTTCATATTATTCAATTTATCTGTGTAAAATAATCAACAAGTTTTTTGAATAAACTACGCGAATTACATAAAGAGTTTAAGTCTCCAAAGAGTTCCTTTTTGAAAAAAGCGAATCCTATTTTGGAGATTAAAACTCTTCATGTAATTCGAGTGTCTATTTACAGAACATTTATGCTCTTTAAAACAAAAAGTAGACACTTAATAAAAAAATAGATCTTCAGTAGAAATTCATTTCTATAGAAGAAAATTTATTACTTTTCACTCTCCGCTAGAATTTATAATCTGTCAAAATTCTAAAAATGCAATTTTTTCATTTATATGCGAAATGTGCCTTTAATATACAAATTTCTTATTCAGTTCGATATGGATTTCAACAAGGCGAGTTTCGAAATTTCTAATTTTCAGCAAAGAATAAAAAAATTACTTTTCCTTTGCTATACCGAAAAATTAAGAACCAAATGTTTGCTCAAAATAATTATCGATCTAAAGGAAATTATGTCTCAAATTTTAACAGCTTACACTTATTTTAAAAAGTACTTCATTACTTTTCTACAAAGTTATACAATACAAAAGTAAATATAACAGCAATTAACCTAAAAATACCTTACCTAAAAATTGTCTTTATACTTTAACTAGATTAACAAGAAATACAATTGAAATTTTATATTAGTGTAAATTTTTCGAAAATTATTAATTTAAGTTTTTCCTCATTTTCACAATTATGAAATGATTTTAACAAACCATTTTCATTACTCAGATCTAAAGCAATACAGATGAAAGGAAGTTCTGAACTTAACTTTTGTTAAGATTCAAGAGAAAAACTTAAAAAAATAAATGATTTTTAGATGAAAATAACGGCGACAATACATTCTAAAATTTCATTTTATTTATTTGGCCGCGAAATTTTTCCAACATAAAACTGTGATATTTTTCAAATTACAAAAAAAGAACTTTTAATTTTAAAGTATTTCAGAGAATTAAACTGTTTTACTATATCAAAGACAAACATCCACCTTTGCTCTAATTTTTTTACATATTGGTGTACTATACACTAGCATTCTAATAAAATTGTGCATGTGGGGGAATATATAAACATACTTGCCAGTTTTTTTGTGTCAAATAGAGAAATAATAAAGCAATCAATACATTGACATGCTTGTGTAGGCATATTTATGTATTTATATACAATTAAGTTGGAAGTTTATTCCATTTTTTGCATGAAAACATTGCGTTAAAAACTTTATAGTATGCGTTATTTTATAAGGTTTCCCCAATAGCAGGCATCTCGAACCATCTCTTAAAAGTTTTTTAAAAATAAAAAGCAATTAATAATTTTAAGGATGTCTATTTATATACACGCAGCTGAGTTTAATATCATTGCAACGTTTGTACTTAAAAGCTTTTTTTAAAAAGATTTAAAACAATATAATTTTTTTTACAATATACCGCATAATTATAACTGATATGTTTTGTAGAAGAATCCTTGTTTTGTAGAAATGCATCTTTTTCTTGGCGTTCCTTAAAAGAGCATTTTACAAAAAAGGTTTAACAACAGAACTTCAAGACCTTTTCTACAATATGCTGCTTGATTATATTTGATATATTTTTCCAGGTCTTCTTCGGAACGTTTTTCCAAGCCTAAGATCACTCACGGCTAATTATTGAAAGAATTCCTGAACAGCACTTAAAACTTTTTTTTAATAATTATATTTTATGCAATACTATGATTTTAACTGTATGATTGATATCTTTCATTTAAAGGTTCAAAAATATGTACAGGTTTTTAAAACCTTTTGTATAATATCTCACACAACCATATGATAATTTTTCTTCCTCAGTCTTCGGGAATAATTCCAAACAAAAATGTAGAACTCTGAAACCTTTTCAATCGTTTCTCATACGACTTAACAGAAAACTTTCAATTTTGACAGAAGAGGGTCTAAAAGGTTAATAAGGCCCTGAAAACTGAATTAACCTCAATTATAATCTTTTTAACAAAATTGTGCATTGGAGAACTACTATGCGACAATTTACAATTGAATAAATTCGTTTACGTATACCACAACTTTTATAGTCTCTGAGATATAGCCAAATAACTTTTTAAGTTGTATCGCAGACTCATCAGACACATTGGATCTACTAATATATTTGTTTGTGCGAAATTCTAATACCACAGTTCGAACATACGTTCGTACGGGTATATCAGAAAAACGGGATATTCTGATTTAAAAGTGAATAAAAATAAAAATGATTGAAAAGGTGAGATTACACGTTTAGGCTGTTAAGTCGCGAAATTTATATGTATAACAACCGAATTCCGGGGGTCATTTTCTTAATTGGACATCTATTCTTATTTCTGATTTCCCAATAAATTTTTGAAAGTACACGAATGAAATTTTTTGAACGCAATGATAATGAAATTTTAAAAATATTTAGATAAGAGGGAGAAAACTTCTTATTTATTTTTTTAAAGAAATTTTAAGAAATTAAGAATATTTTGGATTAAACAAATAGGGTCTTATGTAATTCTTAGGGGCAGGTCATCTCTTCTCTTTTTTGCTAGCACATAAACATAATTTAGTTATCTGATACTTAATCTTGTGATGGGACGTAAGACATCGTTGAATTCAAGTAATCAGGGGTTTACGAGAGAAAAATAATAAAAAAAATAATTAGTAACAAAATAACTGTTCAAAAAATTATTGAATTAAATCAAGTAACTTTAATAAAAAAACTCTTTTAGCCTCTTATTAAGTTTTTCTAAATTATAACGCTTAATTTTAACATGCAGTAGTTTCAACTATCAAGAATGTTCCAAAATAAATTATAAACAAGAATTACTAATACAAAACTTGTGTGAATGTATAAAAATTTATTTTCTTGGTGGGGGGCATAAGCTTTTTTGATGAAATAATATAATAAATGTTTTTAATTTAGTTCGTTATATTTTTTATTTTTCTTAGGATAAAAATATAATACATATTGATAAATTATTTTTCAGACGGGAAATAATGTATATATTGAAGGAATAAAAGTGGCAATTTGTTAGATACTGTTAGGTACTCGTTAAGGATAACACAAAGTTCTTATACAATTTAGTCGAAACAAAAATAGAAAATAATAATTTGTAATAAAAATATTTTATAGATCAATTTTCGATAGATATTTTTTCATTTTCATTTTTGTTATTTCAAGGAGACCGCAGTTTCATTAAGTAAGGCTTTTTTTTGTGCTAATTTTTAAGCTATTTAAGTTATTTGCAAAACCTAGCTACTCATATAAATTTTATTTTTGTTTTAACTTAATAATATAAACGAAAGAAAAAAAGTAAAAAAAAACTAAAAGTAAAAGAAATAACACAAAAATTAAAATTCTGTTTAGAAATATTTAAACAAATATTTTTTGAGTGAGTATAGTTTTTTGCTTTAAAATTTTAGCTTAAAACATAAATTCCTTTTATAAAAAGAAATTTTTTCTTATTAATTTCTTATTAATTAATTATTAAAATTATTAAAATAATGAAAATAACTAAAGTATGTAATAAATAACACAATAATGAAAATAAATTAAATAATAAATGACACAATATTTTATAATAGTTATGTTTATATGCATGTATAAAATAATACTATTGTGAAGTACTAAAATTTGAAGGTGTAAACTCATAAAGAAAGTGCATGTATACGAATGAATAAAAATTTAATAAAATTAATATTTGCTGTTATACAAAAAAAAATCTGATGTGATCAGCACATAACCGAGCGCAATGTGTATTGTCTAACTATGTGAAAGTGTTACAGAATATTATAAAAATGTCTGTTAAATACTTCTTTCCAATTTTTAGGACATTAGTAAGCTTATAGTGAACATACCTAGAAAAATGTAAATTTGGCTCATAGTAGAGTTTTGTGCTGCCCGAATTCCTTGAAATGCTCGCCAGTTAGTTTCGGTAACAACCAGAACTCAAATATCAAATTTCAAGAAATTCCATTAATTCGTTCCGCAGTTATGGTGAAAAATGTAAAATCGGCCCGCAGATCAGCTTTCGAGCCCTGATTGAAAAATCTACATGTTCATTGTTTTAGTACGAAGAATTTAAATATTAAATTTCAATGAAATCGGTTGATTATTTCTTTTTTTATACGCAAAAATGTATATTTGGACCGGAGTAAACGCCCAGTTTCTGATATCTGATTTCTTTCAAAAGTTAGGTGTTTCGCGGACGGTCTAGCGAAACTTATATATGAAATTTGAAATAAATCGGTTAAATATTTTCTTAAAAATGGTCAAAAATGTAAGACAGGCTCGCTAAAAAGTGCAGTTCCCGAGGCCTGATATATCCCAAAAGTTTGAGATTGAGATCCACGCGTACACACACACACCGACAGACCGACAGGTTGCTAAAAATAGTTTATTTACGCTTCCCTACTATGGAGAAGTACATTCCCACCGAAAACTCGATATGCAAAATTTGTTGCCATCGCGGTAATAACCTTAAATTATTTATTACATTACATTATTTATGTACATACAACATGTTTGTAAAAAAATTAAACAAATTGTATTGCCATGCTAATTGCGGTAAAATTAGCATGATTCCTTGTTAGTTCTAATTAGACATGAGGGCGAAGTACGGTTCGAAAAATGTTCGCTTTCATGTAAAATTAATTTGATGCCAAATCAGAATATGAATCAATTTGAAAAAAAAATTTCATTTTAATGATTTGATTACAATTTTTTATATATGTTATATTAATATGTTTTTCAACAAAGCGGATATTTATCTTTCAAAAATTTAAATATAGTTAATAAGGAAAATAAAGAAGAATTAAAGGCCTGAGTAACTATTATATATTTATATAACCTAATTTTCGAGTGAGAAGAACTATTCGGTATTGCGACGTTCAATTCTTATAGGAAAAAATTTGAGAAAAAATCCAATTCAAAAAATGAGTAATCTTATTGGAAAAATGAAATATCCATTATAAAAACGAAGAATTCTAATTTGAAAGTAAATAAAAAGTAAGTAAAATAAAGTTGGGTTAAACCAATGGTTTGTATTATAGCACTTTTCCCTTCAACAAGTGAAAATTCTGCTTTTAAATACAGTCTATGTATACCTATCACACTATTAAAATTATTTTCATTCATATACAAAACTATTACTAGGATTGCATACATTTCGGATGAACGATTTATGCAGTATTTCAAATAAAGCAAAAATTAATATGAAGTGGGGTTAAAATAATGCTCGGTTTTAAGGTTTAATTGCGTGAGTTAAGAAAAATAATTATATTTCTTAATGTCATGGAATTTACCGTTAGCTTTTTGCGTTTATAGAAATTTGAAAAAGTTTGCGGTTTCGGAAATATAAGGTGTCAAAAATTCAAATTTTACAAATTTCAAGGGTCGATAACTTGAGAGGGGGTGGAAATGGAGAAAAATTTTCTTCTAACGAAATTAACTATTTATTAATGTTTAAAAACCCCTAGAATTTGAACCTTTTACAAGCTGGGGTCTAGAAGAAAAACGACATCAAAAATTTGGAAAAAAAGGACTTTGAACGGCCATTTTGTTTTTCCAAAGTTTAACTATAGTATACCACGCTAGGGGAAGCAAGCCACTGCCTTTCTGCGTTTGAAAAATTTCAAAAATGCTTATGGTTTCATTGCAACAAATATTTAAAAAAGGCCATTTTTAGGGTTTTGGGTGGGTACAACTTCTAGAGAGGAGGAGATAGGTAAAAATTTTGTTCTACGGAAGTAAGTTTGTAGTAAAGATCTATGTACGTATAAAATTTCAGCTTTCTATCTTCAAGGATGTAGAAGTTTTGTAAACAAAAAAGTGTCCACGGACGGACGGACGGACGGACGGACAGAGTAAAACTAATAAGCACTTTTTTTCAAAAAATTTTTGGAAAAGTGCTAAAAAGTCGAGATTTATCGAAAATCGAAAAATCGGTAAGAGCTAAAAGTTAACCCATATAACATTTACCTCTATCTCCCATAGTTTTTCCAGTAAAACATATTAAATGTATTTAACAACATGCGTGTTTTAAACATTTTATTAGAACTTTGTATATTTTCGCTTATTTCTACAGAAAAAACAGTTTTTTAAATTCTCCAAAGATGCTTATTTAATGTTAGAAACAATTTAAACAATTAAGTATAAAATATTTTTACTTCTGAATTTCAGGAAATGAGAATATTTTTAACAGTCTTATTTGCTCTGGTGTTCGACGTTTACTGTCATGCCATTATTGATAATGAAATTGATAATTCAATTCAAATACATTCAGACCCCGATGAAAAAATAGATTTGTCAGAACCTCACGAATGGGTCAAATTAACTAAAGTCCCGCCAACAAATATATACCATGACAAAGGTTCGATAATAGAAATAGAGTGCGAAGCGCTAGGTACGCCGATTCCAGAAGTTCAGTGGGTACCTGGAAATGTAGTCAGAGAGGTAAAATGAAGTTATATTATTACTAATATTGTTTCATATTTAAATATGTTTGTATACTGATTCATTCGAAGTATTCGTAAAATACCTAATTTTAATTTCCCGTGAACTATCTGTTCACACAAAATTAAAATATAATATGAATATGTTTTAATTGTGAATATAGCATGTGTTTTCAGGTATCAATTAGGTAACAACAGTCTCGCACCACTTTTCTAAATCAAATTTTTTCAACGTGAAATTGTATTCATCATAAATATTAAAATCAAAGTGTATTAAGCCATTAATTTTTGGAGTCTTAAATGACTTCTTTTTGTTTAAACTGATATAGTGAACTCTATATAATTAAACTAAATCATTTCTAAGTCAAAAACGGCATTCAAAACGAATATGACTAAAAGCTGCGGTAGTCAAATTAATTGTTGAAGTTTTTATAATAGACATTGCAAGTTACATACTTCGCAAAGTGTTGATCCACGCTCCTCTTTTTTTTCCATCAAATCCTCTTTTAAAATTTATTTTACTGGAATTTAGTTTTGTATTTCTATACGTTTAAAACGAGAATCGCCCATTTAAAACGTAAAAATAAAAAGTGTACTTCATATTACCTAAAATCACTGCAATAATTACACTTTACAATGATAGTAAGTCATTGACAGTTATAAATATTCTACAACATAAAATAAACTGCTTCAATTTTTTATCTTTATAATATTGTCACTTCTTAACAAAGCATGATTTTATGTTTGACAATTATTATTACAGTAAACATTGTAATATGTTTCCGAATTCGTACCTTAATTTTTCTTAAATATATTAAAGGGTTTAAAAAAAATTTTGAAAAGTCTTGCAAAATTCAATATTTACAATGCAATAACCATTAATTCACCGAATTTCTAAAATGTTTCTTTCAAAATTTTTTAGTTGATATGATAGTATTCGCCTTAATATTCGCCTACTATTCGCTTCGCTTCTTCAATTCTATAAATATTTATGTTTATATATTAAGTAAACATGTAAAATTCATTTAGTTCGCTCAATCACTCGGGCTGACTGAATTATGTTCAAATGATGGTAGAATAAAATAATCATTATGTGAGACTATAAAACCTACAGTTTTTAAATTTTTCACAAATAAGTTTGGTAACAGCCCCACTAACCCGATAAATTCTTTTTCTTTTCGTAAAGTTACCGAGAATAATTTGATCATAACCCAGAACCTAAAAAGAAATAAAGTTGGGTCAAACCAATGGTTTGTATTGTATCACTTTTCCCTTCAACAAGTGGAAACTCTACTTTTAAATACAGTCTATGTATATCTATCACACTATTAAAATTATTTTCATTCATATACAAAACTATTAGTTAGAGTTAAGAAAAATAATTATATTTTTTAATTTCATGGAATTTACCGTTAGCTTTTGTGTTTATAAAAATTTTAAAAAGCATGCGGTTTCGGAAATATAAGGTGTCAAAAATTCAAATTTTACGAATTTAAAGAGGTGATAACTTGAGAGGGGGTTGAGATGGAAAAAATTTTTCTTCTAACGAAATAAACTATTTCTTATTGTCTAAAAGCCCCTAAAATTTCAAAGTTCTACAGTATGGGGTCTAGAAGAAAAACGAGATCAAAAATTTGGAAAAAAAGGACTTTAGGTAACAGTAAATTTTAACTGCCATTTTGTTTTTCTAAAGTTTAATTATAGTATACCACGCTAGGAGAGCAAGCCACTGCCTTTCTGCGTTTGAAAAACTTCAAAAATGCTTATGGTTTCATTGCAATAAATATTTAAAAAAGGCCATTTTTAGGGTTTTGGGAGGGTATAACTTCTAGACGGGGGGAGATAGGTAAAAATTTTGTTCTATGGAAATAAGTTTCTAGTGAAGATCCATGTATGTATGAAATTTCAGCTTTCTATCTTCAAAGGTGTAGAAGTTTTGTAAACAAAAAAGTGTCCACGGACGGACTAACGGACAGAGTGAAACTAATTAGCACTTTTTTCAAAAAATTTTTTGGAAAAGTGCTAAAAATAGATGCAATTCGAAAAACATTTTTAACAGAAAACCAATTTGAGAAAACGAATAATTTAAGCTCGATTTGACAGTTTGAAATTTTCTTGAACCTTTTTAAGAATAAACGAACAACGCTTTCACTTTTTTCGCTGGGAGCTTTTACAAATTGCTTAGCAGTTAACTTCTATCGTTTAAAATTAAAATTTAATGTTGAATATAAAATAACACATATTTGAGTTATAATGTTTACAATATGCCATAATATGTATGCATGTATCAACAATAATTTTGGTGGGTTATGGATAAAGGTTTTAAAAAACCCTTCATAATTATAGAATTTTAAGTCATGTCTCTGCGAATATTTTTTGTAGATATAGAAACTTTGTTACCACAAACTTTATATTTGCTAACTTATATAATTCATGTTAAATTACGAGAACACTGTGTTGATAAAATTAATAATTGATGTTTCTATTAATGTAGAATAATGCTGTAATGTTCTCTGGACCATCAACTTTAGTTAAAGTCCGCTCAGTATTAATAGTTGAACGTTTGAAGCACACTAAAACATTTTCATGCGTAGCAACAGCAGCTGGTAAGCAAGTTATTGCATCAACAACGGTACACACGAAGAAAATAGAAACATCAATCAACGATGTCACACAAATGAGATACGAACCACGAAAACCAAAAATAATTTATAACTACTCATTATATTTAGAGACAGTTGGGTCAACTATATTATTACCTTGCAAAATAGCACCAAATCGTCTAAAAATTGAAAAAATTTGGCTCGATTCAAGTGGTAACGTTATATCAGGCGAGAATTCAAGGTTCAAAATTAACAGCAGCGGTGACTTAATAATTTTTGATTTGAAATGGGATGACATGGGTGCGTATAAATGTGTTGCAGAAAATTCAATTGGCCGTGATGCAGCTGACACATTTGTATATCCAGCATTGGTAAGAAAAATAGTTTAAGATATTATTGCCAAAATTTTTAATTTATATAACAAAATAGGAATTAGACATGTGAGATATATCTAATAATACTATTTGTGCCAATATTAATAAGTCGGAGCTTAATATCAAGTTGTAGCTTGATATTGTTATCATACATGCAACCATGTAATAAACAAAATTTCTGATAAACTTTATTTCAGCAATGATTTAATTTCTTTTGGCATTTAATGTTTGTACTTTGCATTATTTTAATTCGGGATTCTTAGGGGTTCGGGTAATGTTAGGGGGTTTTTGAATTGCGCATTCATATACTTTTTTCGTTAATAAATCTACCATTTATAGCCATTACCATTATTCTAAGCCGAAAGAGCCTGAAATTGTAATAATACGTCAGATTTTTACAGTCTATAGGATTTCTGATGAATCGGTCAAGCTTCATGTGCAATATATTTTATAGATGTATAAAAACAAATAATGAGGCATTTATGAGCTTCATATGTGTAGTTGTTCGCAACTAAGCGTGCGTTTGACGGTTTTTTAGAGTATACAGATAAAAAATATTAGAAAATTAGCGCTTGTTTAACAGCTATCCTTTTGCAAATTCTGTCTAAGCAAAAAAACAACAATATTCCTTACATTATAATTTAAATTCGTCTGCCAGATTTTTCATTGATGATTTTTATTTTACAGAAATTTCTAAAGGCGATAAAGTTCACAACAAATTGCTAACCCTTATCCCCAAACATTTTGTTTCTTACTTTCATTTAAATTTTGATATATGTATGTATTTGATATATATATGTACATATGGATTTTCATTATATTTAGTACGGATTTCTAAGACCGCGAATTTTAAATTTTGATGCTTTTACTTACTACTTCATAAGATTGCAAAAACATACTATAAAAATATTTAGTTCTAATATCGGAACTAAATACTAAAATTATTATATCCAATGTGATTGATTATACCCAATATACCAAATTTGATTAAGTTACTCAACATTCAGTTTCAAAAACTTCTCTTCAAATTTTTGATACTAAAATCTATCTACCTCCATACAGGGCAGGAGCAACGATGTCGAATCAAAGGCCTCAAATTCTCCCAGGTTATGTAAACGCATACTATTCCCCATGCCTAAATCCCAAATAGTTAAATAGCCTAGACGAAGAATTAAGTTTTCGGACGGGATGAAACAGCCCCGAAGGTTCATTTCTGTAAATTCTGAATATGATGAGATAAAAAGTAGTACAAACCTTTCCAATAAGGTATCGGATTGTATCTTTCCAAATATGGTCGATACGCCAATTCCGCAATAATGCTGAAACTTTCTGCAATCTACTACAATGTGATATAGCAAAAAGAAAGCAAACCTTCTTCTTCCCGTTTTGTCAAAATTTTCTTTGCCGTCCTAATAGCAAAAATTAAATTTGCACTGAAATTGCTAAATAAAAAAATTTTCATTTAATTTTTTTGTAACTTAAATCATCTGATAATAATTTTATCTCTTAAGTATTTTTGAAATTGCTACATTACATTAGATTTGCATTAAGTATAGATGCAAATTTATATATTATCTTGAAATAATAGATGCATTTGAAAATACTTTTATATGTTATTATTTTTCTACTAAATCATTTTTATCGGTGGTGCTGTTCGTTCAATATAGAAATATAAAATTTTATACGCAAAAAAGTTTTCTTAAAACATTATTTTTCTGGAACATAGTTTTTATCAGTACTACTCGCCTTTCAAATTTTACCTCATCAGTACTCAGAATGCAACAATTTTTATGATAATCTAAAACTTAAAATTTTTAAAATAAATGACTTATTTTTTTTAATAATAATCTCATAAAATTTTACAATAAACAACTCCTGATATTCATATGTATGTATGTAACTTAAATGAAGTTAAAAAACTTTTTAATGTTCGACTTTATAATTGTGTAAAATGGTTTGTTCATTGTACGTTAACAACTAAGCGGAACTTATATATGTATACAAATATATAAGGCAATAAATTAGATCTCTAGTTCAAATCTATTTGTCTTATTATTTAAACTAATGAATTATTTGATATAATAATTACTTACAATAATTAAAATAAAAAAAATAAAATCATTTACATGTATACATTTTCATTTCAGAACGACGATTAGTTCCTGACTGTCAAGTAACATCAGTTTAACATTATTAGATCAATTTATAGAATTAAAATATCGAATCATAAATGTGAACTTGTTGTGGTGGCTTTATCCTTTGATGTGGTTTTTAGAACATATGTTAAGGAATGTCTACTAATAATGAAATTTTATCTGACAAAATAATTTTTCGAGAAATAAATAAAATGTCCTTTTACAACGGATAAAAAAAAAGCAGTTTTTTGTTTAAGTAGGCACCAAGTCGAGCCACGTCGATCTTTTACTTAAATAGTCTTCAATTCCAAATGACTTTAAAGGCAATAAAATTTCCTATATGCATATGTTATCAAAATGTGCGTAATTGATGCACATGTATAAGTATTTTTAATCGGATCACCACTCAATTTTAATTTTTAAATCTTTCAAATAAATTCGTCTTTTTTAATTGATCATGTACATATATTTTTCGTTTTGTTATTATTTTACAGAAATTTTTTCATAAATTTTTATTTCCAATATTTCGACTAATGCCATATATGTATGTACATATATCTACCCCACCAAGCTGAAATTATTTTCCGATATTTTGAATCATTAAAAAATTACAAAAACAATAATTCCTAATGTTTTTTATTTTCGAAGTATGCCGATTGAAATATTTTTTTTATGTTTTTTGTGAAATTTTCAAGTATTCTTTGTGATTGTCACTTTATTTAGTATAGTTTTAAAAATGATTTAGATTGTTAATATTTTTTGTTTTTTAATATCTTTTTAAATCCAATTTCTTCTTCAAAAACTTTACTCTTTAATACAGTACCCTACCCTTCCATTTGAATGCATTTTTCAAATAGAATTTACCAAGCAATTTTTTGGAATTTAAATTTTAAATTTAAAAAAATATGTATGTAGAACCAGGTGAGCTTAGAATTTTGACCAATTTGCGACACCCTTGTTTTTACTGCAAAAAAGTAAATTTTCGTACCAGTCCTAATTTTCAAATTTTAAAACAATATTTTTGTTTTTTTTTATAAAGAAGAAGAATATCGAATCATTTTGTAATGACAATTTTGAAGAAAAATTATAATAAAAAGAAAATAGAAAGAAAAATTCCAATATTTAATGACTTTTTTAATATTAGAAATTTGTTGAAATTTTAGGATAAGGCTATTTAGGCTATTTTGTTAATCTGATGGGAGCTAATTCAGCCGATGACGAAATAGCCATATATTAATATATGTAATGTGAAAACATAAAATATTTACATAAAAATATATTTAATTTATAACATAAATTTTAGTTAACGAAATTTAATCAAAAATTAGAAAAGATAGATTTGGCCATGTCTACTTTCTGATATCTGTACGAATCACATTTTTTATGATATCTTTACGTTTTTCAGAAGCTATTTGACAATTAATAAATACTCACTACTAACATTTTTCTAAATGGTCCTATTACTTAACTTGGTTTAACTTGGTTTGTGTACTATTTGTTATTTATAATGCCCTAATTTTTTTAAAATAATAGCCTTACTACAGCACTCGTTTATGCAAAGTTCAAATACTGTAAGCTTTATAGTTACTGAGATATGACCAAATTATTTAAAGAGTTGTATGGCTCCTACTGCAAGATACTATACAAACACAACCAAATTTTAAAACAATAATTTACCTGTTACTCTATTAATTTATGAACAATTTTAATACAGTTAAGTTTACAGTTCCTGAAATATTGCTAAATAATAAAATATTAGATTTTTATGACACTATTATGTTGTTTTGCTTTGTAACCGTTTTTATTTTGCAACATCGTAATATAAAATTACTACTCCATTTGCAACGATAAGAAAAAGATATCTGGAATATGGACATAAGTACAGTAAAACACGGTGGCTTGTACTTTTTTCGATTTTTTCATATAAAAAAATTCATTTAAGTGGAATTCGGATAAGTGCACAACACTTAGAAACCAAAGTTTAGTTTAGAACCAGTTTTTAATAAATTCAATTCTTTGACATTGGAGGTAATTTTTTAAGTCGAATTCGTATAAGTGGAAAACACGCTTTAGTGGACAAAATTTTCTTGGCTGATCGATTTCCACTTAACCGTGTTTTACTGTATATATTTTTATCAGCGTCGAATTCGGAGTTGAATCAACTATGTATTTCCGTCCATTTACCGCAACGATATATCGAAAATCCATTAAGCTAGGGTAACCAAATTAGAGTCTACACTTTTATAGAGTCTACCAAACGACTTTATGGAAGCTTCACGGATATGTTTGACCTATAACTGGACACACATCTGCCAAATTTCATGAATCTAACTTTATTATTCGTTTAATTATTTAAAATTACATTTTGGAGTTACATGGCAGCTACTCGAACCTGTCAAGCCATTTCATTAAAATTGTTAGAACATATGTAAAGTGCAATTGGACACATCTTTGCAAACTTTGATTTTAATATTTTTATTAGTTTTTTAAATATTTATCAGTTTCTTCGAATTGGCTAAGTTACAATAGCAACCGTCCATGACAGAAAAGAAAAAACTTGTGAAAGTTTGGTGTCGGTTGCAATATTCCTTTTTGAGTTGTCGCTCGATCGGACGGACGGGCGGATATAGCTAAACCAACGCAGAACTTTACATTGAGCAAGAATGTATGTATATATATGCCCATACCGGAGACGACTCCTTCAAGTGGCTACAAACTCCATACAAGAATAATGCAATCGACACCAAACTTTCACAAGTTTTTTCTTTTGTGTCAAGGACGAACTCTATTGTTATTGGACTACAACTCCAAGAGTTTATTTTAAATATTTCAAAAACTAATAAAGCTATAAATATAAAATACATGTATACATGTGTCCATATGGTCTAAAAATTATAATGGGATAATGGGATATTTCTGACGTTTTAGAGAAATTGCTTGACAGGTTCCGGTACCTGCCATGCAACTCCAAAAGCTAACTTAAAATATTTGGAAAAATAATAAAGTCAGATTCATGAAACTTGGCAGTTATTTGTCGAGTTATACCTCAGTTGTATTTCTGAAGTTTTGGTGGAATTGCTTGACAGGTTCGAGTAGCTCCCATACAAGTCTAAACGCTTATTTTAAATATTTGGAAAAATAATAAAAACAGATTCAAGAGACTTGGCAGTCGTGTGTCCAATTATATGTCAGACATATTTCTGAAGTTTTGATGGAATTACTTGACAGGTTCGAGCAGCTCCCATACAAGTCAAAAAGCTTATTCTAAATATTTGGAAAAATAATAAAGTCAGATTCATGAATTTGGCAGTTGTGTGTTATAATAAGATACCATAATATGATATTATACTTTTTGTAAACATGTTGATTTACATCAAAAAATAATCTGATACGAACACATGACCGCAAGATATTGACTACTTTTGCTAAAATGTTGCATGAGATTACGAAAATGCCTTTTAAATACCCCTCACAAATTTTAGGGAGGCTAATACGCTTTTAGTTATCATACCTAGAAAAATATATGTTTAGCTCTTATCAAAGGCTCATTTTATGCTAACCATTTGGTCCCTGAAAAATTTGTCATTAAGTTTCGGTAGCAAACAAAACTAAAACTTTTAATTTTAAGAAATTCCATGAATTAGCTTCATAGATATGATAATAAATCCCCTTGTTCGGTTTCCGAGCTCTGACATTTCCAAAAAATCTATAAGTTCATGGTGTTAACACCCCGAATGTAAAAATTAAATTTCACGGAAATTGGGTGATTTTTTCTCTTTACATTCGCAAAAATTTAAACTTGGCCCGTTTTTTTTGTTTTATTTACTTTATAATTACATTACGTCGAATGTGTCGCTGTAAACGAATTGAACCCTAATTATTATATGCATTTGTATACATTTACAAATACATTATTTTCTATTATCAAATAATATAAATGCATAAAAATATTTTTGGCTACTTAAGTTTATGAGTAAAACCAAACATAAACAAGTAAAAACGTTTCAGTCGGTATAAACCGATTGAATTATACCCTTTCGTTATTGTGTAGCAATTACTCGAATCTGTGAAATCATTCTATAGAAACTTCACGGATATGTCTGACCTATAATTGGACATCCGACTGCCAAGTTTCATGAATCTGACTTTATTATTTTTCCAAATATTTAAAGTTAGCTTTTTGAGTTGTATGGCAAGTACCTGAACCTGTCAAGCAATTCCATTAAAACTTCACAAATATATCTGATCTGATACTTGGACACACAACTGCCAAATTCATGAATCTGATTTTATTATTTTTCCAAATATTTAGAATAAGCTCTTGGACTTGTATGGGAGCTGCTCGAACCTGTCAAGCAATTCCATCAAAACTTCAGAAATATGTCTGACATATAATTGGACACACGACTGCCAAGTCTCTTGAATCTGACTTTATTATTTTTCCAAATATTTAAAATAAGCTTTTAGACTTGTATGGAAGCTACTCGAACCTGTCAAGCAATTCCACCAAAACCTTAGAAATACAACTGACCTATAACTCGACAAATAACTGCCAAGTTTCATGAATCTGACTTTATTATTTTTCCAAATATTTCAAATTAGCTTCTGCAGTTGTACGGCAGGTACCCGACCCTGTCAAGCAATTCCTCTAAAACTTCAGAAATATATTTGACCTATAATTGGACACATGACTGCCAAGTTTCATGAATATGACTTTATTATTTTGCTGAATATAAAAAATTTGCTGTTGGAGTTGTATGGCAGCCACCCGAACCTGTCAAGCAATTCCTCTAAAACTTCAGAAATATATCTAATCTATAATCTGACACACAACTGCCAAGTTTCATAAATCTAACTTTATTATTTTTCCAAATATTAAGAATAAGCTTTTAGACTTGTATGGGAACTACTCGAACCTGTCAAGTAATCCCACCAAAACTTTAGAAATATGTGTGACATATAATTGGACACACGACTGCCAAGTCTCTTGAATCTGACTTTATTATTTTTCCAAATATTTAAAATAAGCTTTTAGACTTCTATGGAAGCTACTCGAACCTGTCAAGCAATTCCACCAAAACCTTAGAAATACAACTGACCTATAACTCGACAAATAACTGCCAAGTTTCATGAATCTGACTTTATTATTTTTCCAAATATTTCAAATTAGCTTCTGCAGTTGTACGGCAGGTACCCGACCCTGTCAAGCAATTCCTCT